GCAAGAGGCAGCTGACTGATGATACTCTCTCATCAATGTTTCTAACTCTCTATCCCTCTCTATTCCTCTCAGTAAAAAATAAATAAAATATATTTTTAAAAAAGTAAAATCAACTATAGTCTTACTAAGATGGAACAATGCCAACTATGCATCGTCTTTTTAAACTCTCAATTAACAACTCTTTGGATCCAATGACACAAGTACCTGTGAGACATACAAAATGTACCAATTTTTAAAAAGGGAATACATTCTTAAAATGTATTTTGTAAGTTTTATAATATGTATTAGATACCACTAAAATAAAATAAAATTATACATATATATATATATATATATATATATTATTAAACATGTAATCTATTTCTAAGATTATGTTGTGCCTGATGGTAATATGATATTTGATCACCTCTTGAATGTCATCCTATATAATGAAGAGGTAATATGCAAATTAACAGCCATATCTTCACACAAGATGGCCACCCCCATGTGGTCACAAGATGGCTGCCCCCATGTCGTCAAAAAATATCCACCCCTATGTGGTCATAAGATGGCCACTCCCATGTGGTCACCAGATGGCCACTTCCATGTGGTCATAAGATGGCTGCTGCAAGATGGTGGACAGGGGAGGGCATTTGTGGGCAATCAGTCCAGCAGGGGAGGACAGTTGGGGGTTGGGGTTGACCAGGCCTGCAGGAGAGGACAGTTGGGATGACCTGGCTGGCAGGGGAGCAGTTAGGCATCAATCAGATTGGCAGGGGAGTGGTTAGGGGGCGATCAGGCTGGCAGGCAAAAGTGGTTAGAGGCAATTAGGCAAGCAGGCAGGTAGGTGAGCAGTTGGAAGCCAGCAGTCCCGGATTGTGAGAGCCTAAACCAGCAGTCGGGTCCCACAGGGAAGAGGCCTAATCTGGCAGTCAGACATTCCCCAATGGGTCCCAGATTGGAGAAGGTGCAGTCTAGGCTGAGGGAAACCTGAGTGATGAATTTTGGGCACAGGGCCTCTAGTCCTACTAATAAAATAGTAATATGCAAATTGACCATCACTCCAATACACAAGATGGCCACTCCCATGTGGTGAAAGGTGGCTGCGCCCATGTGGATACAAGATGGCTGGTAAGGGAAGGCAGTTGGGGGTAACCAGGCCTACAAGGAAGGGCAGTTGGGGGGAGATTAGGCCTGCAGGGGAGGACAGTTAGGGGGGAACCAGGCCTGCAGGGGAGGGCTGTTGAGGATGTCCAGGCCTCCAGGAGTGGGCATTTGGGGGAAGACTAAGCCTGCAGGGGAGGACAGTTGGGAGGAACCAGGCCTGTAGGGGAGACCAGTTAGGGGGGGGGCAGACCTGCAAGGATGGCCAGTAGGGGGGGACGCCTGCAAGGGGGGCAATGGGGGGGGGCAGGCCTGCAGGGGAGGCCAGTTGGGAGGGGACCAGGCCTGCATGGGAGGCCAGTTGAGGACAACCAGGCCTGCAGGTGAGGGCAATTGGGGGTTACCAAGCGAGCAGGGGAGGGCAGTTAGGGGCAATTGGGCCAGCAGGGGAGCAGTTAGGCATCGATCAGGCTGGCAGACAGAAGCAATTAGGGGCAATCAGTCATGCAGGCAGGCAGGCAGGTGAGCAGTTGAAAGCCAGCAGTCCTGGATTGTGAGAGGGATGTCCCACAGCCTGTTTAGGCCCTATCCCACCCAGATCCCACCGGGATCAGGCCTAAATGGGCAGTTGGACATCCCTCCCAGGATCTCAGATTGGAGAGGGTGCAGGCTGGGTTGATGGACGGACACACACACACACACACACACACACACACACATACACACACACACACACACCCATGCACAAATTTCTTACACTGGGCTGCCTGGTTGTCCTCCTCTGCCCTCCCATGCAGGCCTGGCCCTTTCACAACTGGCCTCCCCTGTAGGCATGCCCCCCACCAATTGCCCTCCCCTGCAGGCCTTCCCCCCCTACTGGCCTCCCCTACAGGCCTGGTTCCTCCCAACTGTCCTCCCCTGCAGGCCTAGTCTTCCCCCAAATGCCCACCCCTATAAAAGGCAGAATTCTTATTTTTTATCTATTTGTAGTTAGAGACTCTTTTGGTTACCATTGGCTGCTTTTTTTTAAAATTCTTTTGCTACTAAAATAGTCCATTAAAAAATATCTTTATTGTTCAAAGTATTACACATGTACCCCTTTTCTCCCCCATTGACTTCCTCCTCCCCAGGCCTTCACTACACTATTGTCTTTGTTCATGAGTTATGCATATATCCATATAAGTTCTTTGGCTAATCTCTTTCAGCTCTCCCCAACCCACTTCCTTCTGAGATTCCTCAGTATGTTCTATGCTTCCATGCCTCTGCTTCTATTTCATTAATCAGCTTATTGTGTGTATTAAATTCCACATATAAGTTAGATCATATGACATTTGTCTTACTCTGACTAGCTTACTTCACTTAGCATAATCATTTCCAGGTCCCTTCATGCTATCAAATTACAGTCTACTTTAAATATGTTTGTTTATTTGTTTCTTTCTTTTAAATATTTTTAAATTAAGAAATATAGTGAAATGTGAGATAGAATGCAAACTATGTATAAATACCAAACTAAATATTTGGAAGATAATCCTATCTAATAAAAGAGTAATATGCAAATTGACTGTCACTCGAACACACATGATGGCTGCCCCCATGTGGACACAAGATGGCTGGCAGGGTTGGGCAGTTGTGGTCAATCAGACCAACAGGGGAGGGCAGTTGGTGGCGGGGGGGCAGGCCAGTAGGGGAGAGCAGTAGAGAGAGACCAGGCCTTCAGGGGAGGGCAGTTGAGGGGAACCAGGCCTGCAGGGGAGGGCAGTTGGAGGCAACCAGGCCTCTAGGGGAGGACAGTTAAGGGCAACCAGGCCTGCAGGGGAGCACAGTTAGGGGTGACCAGGCCAGCAAGGGAGGGCAGCTAGGGACAACCAGGCTGGCAAGGGAAGGAAGTTAGGGGTTACTGGGCCAGCAGGGAAGGTCAGTTGTTGGTGACCAGGGCTGCTGCTGAGGACAGTTAAGGGCGACCAGGTTGGCAGAGGAGTGCAGTTAGGGGCAATTGGATCAGCAGAGGAGCAGTTAGGCATAAATCAGGCTGGAAGGCAGAAGCAGTTAGGGGCAATTAGGCAGGAAGGCAGGTGAGCGATTGGGATCCAGCTGTCCTGGATTGTGAGAGGGATGTGTGATTCCCCGTTTAGGCCTGATTCTGGCAGGGTCCCAGATTGGAAAGGGTGCAGGCTGGGCTGAGGGTCACCACCCCCCATGCATGAATTTTGTGCAGCAGGCCTCTAGTAAAGTATAAAGATAAGAACAAAACCTGCAAGTTTGTCTCTGTATTGCTTAATTCGTATGATGAGAATTCATCCTGAAAAAAAAGGAAATACCAGCAAAGACCTTGTAAGGCAGTGAAAAGCACCATTAAAACCACAGAGATCTGATAGAATCTCCTCTCTACAATTTATACCTATTTACTTTTTGGCAAGTTACTCACTCTCTTATTTTTCTCCAGGGGAAGTAGGAATAATAATTGTTATGTTGTATGTGGTATTGTAGAGTCAGTGAAATTGTATATGTAAAAGCACGGAGCCCATTGTCTGACTCATAATAACTGTATAATACCTGTGACTTTCATTCCCTTCCCAGTAAAACAATAAGGAGTTATGGCACGACTTAAGTTCTAAAATAATTTCAAGTTCCTAAATGGATGTAAAGAACTGAGAAGATATTTAAAGCTATAATCCATTGCATCTCAAGAGTAACACTCAGAGAACTTTGACAGACTACTGTCCTCCAAGACAGCCCTACAACCAGGATATGCAGAGTGCCTTTTGGGTTACTGCTAGCAAATATTTGTTTGGACAGGCCTTGGGTAATCCAGTAGATCAGTGTTTCCCAAACTTTTGACATATGTATACCCCTTCTATAATTTTCGTAATGCTGAGTACCTCTCATACTCATGAGAATGTAAAATTAGGTGCAGCTAAGCACGGTGCAGTGCATATCCCCACCAAACTCTTCCCCCCGGGGGTACACGTACCACACTTTGGAAAATACTGCCTAGATCATAAACCCCATAAAACTTTCAAACTTACTTTGTAGATTTTTTCATCTTGATTGTGTATTAAAATCACCTGGGTGCTTTTAAAAATACCTGAGTGCTCCATACTGATGTAATTGGTCTTTAGGGGGACCAGGACTCAGTGCTTTATTGTTATTGTTTTTCCAATACCCAGGTGATTCTTATGTGCAACTATTTTAAGGTAAATGTAAAGGTGGACTTACATAATTCCCTTAAGAATTCCAACTTAAAATGTTAGTGGATCCAATAAAAATAATGATAAAGGCAGATAGCAGTGATATTGAAAGTGATAGACTTTATGAGATCATTTGATTTTGATCCATTTGAAATTGAATAGCTTCAAAATACTTAATTTATTAGATGCTAATATATTTTCAAATTCCTAAAATTAAAAAAAATAAGTATGCTCACAGGGAAGAAAATGTTAATACTCCATAATAATTGCCTTACCTTTGTTTCAATCAAGAAATGTATTCACTTTTAACGGAAGAAATGAACAAAATAAGTTTATGTACAAAATAAACTAGAGGCTTGGATACATGGAACAAGACAAATGTTAAGAAGGGAGTAGGTTGGGGGAGACTGGAAGAAAGAAGTTGAAGGTATGAGCTAAAGAACATATATGCATAGCCCATGGACACAGACAAAAGTGTGATGAAGGCCAGAGGAGGGAAAGAAGGGGGTGTTGAGTGGAAGGAGCAAAGGCAGATAAAATGGAGGACATCTGCAATAATGACAACAACAACAACAAAACACACCCCCCCCAAAAAAAAAGCCTTTTATTTTCATTCATCCTTTCTATTTAATATTACTCTTATCAATATAATTAAATGTGCATTCTATGTTCATATAGTTTGTTTTATATAATCAATTCTCTTTCTTGATCCATGTTTTTCACCTCTAGGCATTTTGACAGATCTGTTGAAAAATGGCGACGGTTTCATTATGATATGAAGGTATTTAATCAATGGCTAACAGACGCTGAACAGTTTCTCAAAAGGACACAAACTCCTGAGAATTGGGAGCATGCCAAATATAAATGGTATCTTAAGGTAAGACTTTGTGATTTCTTTATTCAAACTGTTTGTCATCACTGTGGTATCACATCTGCTTAATTTGTTTAAGTTTAGTTTCTGAATGGTGATGGAAATTTATAATTCCTGACTTTTGTTGTCATCAGTACACATAGGAGAACATCATTATAATGATGATGTTAGGAGACTGTGCTGTGGCTTTTTATGGATAAGTCGAAAGTTAGCTTAAATATAACTGGTTTATCTGATGAAAATGTAATTGAATCTATGATACCAAGGAGCATCTTCAGGCAGGGTGTCCTATAGCTTTAGGGCAGTGTGTGTTTTTGTTTATTTTATGTTGGATCCTGTCCAGAAGAAGAACTTGTTGTATGCTTAGCAATAATGTAGTTGCTAGAAATATCCATCATGATAAAATTACAGGTCTGTTTCCCTAGGGACAATTTTTAGTAATGTAGCAATATTTCCATATATTCTATTGACAAAATGCCTTCTGAGATAGTCTAGAGGCCAAAACAATGCAGTTAATTGAAGGTACTTATTGACTTTTTTATGGTTTATGTTAATGGAAAGGCAACATATGGATTGTAAGCAGTGTACCATTTAATTTCAACTTCTGTGTCTTTTGAGTATGTAGATAAAGATAAATTGGATTGTGGAGGTTATAATTTAGGTTATAAAATATATAGTTTGGGTATAAGAAATATTGTGTTTATTATACCACATCTTAAGTATTTTTGCAATTTTTTAAACTCAAATTGTTCATGTAGCAGTGTTCAGTCAAGTAGATTTGAATTGTGGCCAATGTTTAATGCCAGAAAATGCTGATCAAGACAGATGAAAGCAAAAAAGAAGGCAATTTATTAAACAGTTCTGATGTTTCAAAATACTGGATTCATAAAAGCAATATCATATTCAACTTTACAATTCTCAATTCTCAAAGAATTTTGCATAACCAACATGCATTTTGATACTAAGAAAGCAAGCATTTATATACTTATGTATACGTAAAGTAAGTAAATATAGAAAATGAATAATTTAAAAATATTGTATAATTATGTGTATGTCAACAAAACTTATATACACATAGCATTGGCATTGGAGCTAGAAAAATTTTATTGATTTTCCAATCTGCCATCATGCAGAATATGTTTTTTAATAGCACTAAAATACATTTTGAGCTAGTATAACATCACTAGGTCTCTGACTTAAAGGCAAAAATATTAAGTGAAATATAAGGTTTTCTTGGGGAGATTATAAATCTCTTGCCATTTCCAAAGATATATGACACAAATTAGTTACATTTTTGATTGTTTTATTATAAAATAATATATACTCATTATGAGGAAAATAAAACAATGTAGAAGTGTATTCATACTTCCATTCTACTCTAGAGAGGGTGATTGTTTTGATAGGGATTTTGATACATATTTCTGGTTGGCATCCTTGGGAAGCCCACGCTGACATGGAGATTAGCATACAGAAGGTTTATTAGGGAATGCTTTTGGGAATTGAACAGTTGTTTTATGAGGTTCCTTGGCATTGTTTTCTTCATGCTTCCTATTCTTGAGGACTGTTAAGCTACTTGGATCTGTGGGTTTAGCATTTTCGTCAAATTTATAAATTTTAAGGCATTGTTTTTAAAAATAGGTTCTGTCCTTCCTTTTCAGGGACTCTGATTACACACAATAGGCTGTTTAATCTGTCCCACTACTAACTGGTGTTCTGTACTTTTTATTTTCAGTATTTTAAAATAATTCATTTCACATATCTTGTATTGTAAAATTATTAAATCTTTTTTTTTTCAGTATCTAATCTGAGGTTAATCAAATCTAGTGCATATTTTTAACCTCAGATGTTGTTTTGCATGAGTCAACACATTATTGAAGTGTGATTTAGGATTTTTTCACCTTCCATGTCTCTATTCAATGTGTCAATCTTTCCTCTGCCTTCTTGAAAATATGAAATACAGTTATAATAACTGTTATAATGTTCTTGTCTGTTACTTTTAGTATCCATATCTATTTTGGGTCTATTTCAATTGCATTTTCTCCTCATTATGCTTGTTATTTTCTAGCTTCTTTGTATAACTGGTAAATTTTTTTCTCATTTGATTTTGATTTTTAAAAATGTTAGTGCATTTATTGGGGTGACACGGCTTAATGGGTCATCCTATCCATGATTAATAAAATTATCCTCTAATAGAATCTAATTGTGATGGCCACATACACATAAAATGCCCATTAATTTTATTTCTAAAGTATACATCAGATGTCTCCATGACATCTGGGGACATACCCATTGTGAAAAGGCACCAGGTCTCACCTTATAGGTACTTTCATCTCATTGGTTTACTTCATCATCATCAAACTGTAAATATTAAGCTTTTGTTCACATACAGCACTTTTAATTTTCTTTTTTAATCTTCATTGAATCTATTGGGGTGGCAATGGTTAATAAAATTATATAGGTTCATATGTACAATTCTATATATAATACATCATATGTATATTGTATTATGTGTTCACCATCCAAAGTCAAGTCTCCTTACATCACCATTTTCTTCCTTTCCCCACGTATACCTCCCCCACCCTACTTACCGTTTAATAATCATCTTTGTCTACAAGTTTATGGGTGATTTCTTGCTTAATCTATTCACCCTTTTCACCCAAACTCCCAACTCTCTCCCACCTCCCTGACAGTAGTCGGTATGTTCTCTGTATCTGTGAGTCTTTTTCCATTTGGTTGTTTATTTATTTTGTACATTAAGTTCCACATATAAGTGAAGTTACATGGTACTTGTCTTTCTCTGACTGGCTTATTTCGCTTAGCATAATATTCTCCAGGTCTCCCCATGCCATCTCAAAGGAAACAAGATCCTTCGATTTTATGGCTGCATAATATCCCATTGTATAAATGTACCACTGCTTTTTTATCCACTCATCTACTGATGGTCTCTTGCACTGCTTCCAAATCTTAGCTATTGTGAATAACACTCCAAGGAACACAGGGGTGCATATATTCTTTAGAATAAGTGTTTTTGCATTTCTTTGGATATATTCCCCAAAGTGGACTTGCTGGCACCATAAGGAAGTTCCATTTGAAGAAACTCCATACTGCTTTCCATAATGGCACAAATCTGCATTCCCACCAACAATGCATGGGGGTTCACTTTTGTCCTCAACTTCAATAACACTTGTTTATGGATTTATTGGTGGTAGCCATTTTGACAGGTATGAGGTGATATTTCATTGTGCTTTTGATTTGCATCTCTCTTAATATTAGTGTGGTTGAGCATCTTTTCATATGTCTATTGGTGTTCTGTATGTCCTCTTTGGAGAAGTATCTATTCAAGTCATTTGCCAAATTTTTAATTGGGTTGTTTATTTTGGGGGGCTGAGTTGTGTAAGTTCTTTATAAGTTTTGGATATTAAACCCTTATCAGATGTATCAATAGCAGATATGTTCTCCCATGCAGTGGGTTGCCTTATGATCTTATTGATGGTTTTCTTTGTGGTGCAAAACATTTTAGCTTAATGTACTCCAATTAGTTTATTTTTCTTTTGCTTTTCTTGCCTGAGTATATATATCAGAGGCAATATTGCTGTAATAAATGTCCAAGAGTTTACAGCCTATGTTTTCTTCTAGGATTTTTATGGTTTCAAGTCTGACATTTAAGTCTTTAATCCATTTTGAGTTTATTCTTGTGTCTGGTGTAAGGTGGTCTAGTATCCTTTTCTTGCATGTGCAGTTTCCATAAAATTAATTGACCATAAAATCAGGGTTTTATTTCTTTGATTTCTGTTCTGTACTGTTGTTATTGATACATGTCTTTTTTATGACATTACCATGCTGCTTTGGTTACTATAAACTTTTAGAATAGTCTTATATCAAGTAGTGTGATTCCTGCAACATTGTTCTTCTTTGTCAACGTTTCTGTGGCTATTTTGGGTCTTCAGTGGTTTCATATACATTTTTGGAGTATTTATTCTAATTACGTGAAAAAATGTATCTTTTTTAAAAGAAACATTGCAATATATATATCCTATCTAAGAAAAGAGTAATATACAAATTGACTGTACCTCCACTACACCCACTAGACACACCCACCAGCCAATCATGAGCGAGTATGCAAATTAACCCAACCAAGATGGCTGAGCCGGCAGGAAGCTTGGGTTTCCTTGGTAATGGAGGAAGCCAAGCTTTACGCACAACCCTGGCTGGCCTAGGCCTCCACTCAAGGCTATAAAGTTCAATTATAGAGGATAAATAAATCCTAACAAAAATGGTGGCAACCATGGAGCTGGAAAGAGTAGGAGGCTTGAATTGCCCCGGCAATGGAAGAAGCCAAGCATTCTGCCTGTCCTGGTGGGCCCAGACCTCCAATCAAGGCTACAAAGTTTAAATTATAAAAGACAAATAAATCCCAACAAAAATGGCTATGGACACATAGCAAGCAGGAGGCTTGGATAAACTACAGGCTACAAAATTTCAATTATAGAGGATAAATAAATCCTAGATACCAGGGCCTCCACTTGGGTCGCCTAGATGTGTGGCTGGCCTGCAAACCACCACAGGCCCCTCACCCAGGCCACCCCATGCCCCAAGGGAACCCCCACTCTGATCCAGGACATTCTTCAGGCCAAACCAGCTGGCCACCACCCATCCTCCAGGCCTCTATCTCATCTAATAAAAGAGTAATATGCAGATTGACCATCACTCCAACACACAAGATGGCTGTCCACATGTCATCAAAGATCCTGCCCCCATGTGGATACAAGATGGCCACCACAAGATAGCCAGCAGGGGAGGGCAGTTGGGAGGGACCAGTTCTGTAAGGGAGGGCACTTGTGGGCAATCAGGCCAGCAAAGGAGGGAAGTTGGGGGCAATTGGGCCTGCAGGGAAAGGCCATGAGGGGGGAAGGCCTGCAGGGGAGGGCAGTTAGGGGTGACCAGGCCTACAGGGGAGGGCATTTAGCTGCAAATATGCTGGTAGAGGAACTGTTAGGCATCAATCA